TCTTTTTTATGTTTGTTACTCTCTTGTAACACCTCTAATCTTCTGCACTCATATGACCTTATTGTGTTGCAAGTGCCATAAAACTCTTACGAAAACTAAAACTTCTCAGAGGTTCCAGATTTCCACCAGAGTTGGGCTGGGGATTTTCTTGCTGTCCATCCTGGAACATTTCCGTCAAGTTCAAGAGTTCTCGTTATATACATAAATAATATATTAGGTCAGGCTTCTGAGTTGAAGCAGCCACGGTGACAAAGTCATCCGTTTCTTGTTTCTCTCATTCAGCTTTTCCGCCCCACAGCTAGAGATGACCCAAAAACGTCTGACACTCTACTGTACTCCTGCCACTACAGGTATCAAAGCCGATAGAGTCAAACTGGCCAGCATTTGTTCAATGTTAGCAAGAGACCACTGCTATTTAGTAAACAAGCTCAGAAAAATCAAACAGCTGTATACCATCACTTATACTTTATCAGAAAAAAAAATTAAAAAATATATATAACAAACAAATCAATGTAGCAGTCTGAACACGTTTACTTCTTCCATGACAGGCAAAATGAAGTGATTCGAATCTACAGATTTCACAGAAATATGTCATCTTTTGCGTCGAAACCAGGCGTTTTTCTTGGCGTTCTTGGAGAACTCCTTCCTGCGCTTCATCTCACTCTGGGCTCTCCTGCTCTTGACCGCATCTTTGTGCTTCTTCTTGTACATCTGCCGGAGAGAGAGAAGAGTTGATGAGTACATGAAACTCCACGTGCTGAAACTGGTGATTTATACATGAAACTACAGGTGCTGAAACTGGTGATTTATACATGAAACTACAGGTGCTGAAACTGGTGATTTATACATGAAACTACAGGTGCTGAAACTGGTGATTTATACATGAAACTCCACGTGTGAAACTGGTGATTTAAACATGAAACTCCACGTGTGAAACTGGTGATTTAAACATGAAACTCCACGTGTGAAACTGGTGATTTATACATGAAACTACAGGTGCTGAAACTGGTGATTTATACATGAAACTCCACGTGTGAAACTGGTGATTTATACATGAAACTATAGGTGCTGAAACTGGTGATTTATACATGAAACTACAGGTGCTGAAACTGGTGATTTATACATGAAACTACCGAAACAGAGAAGAGTTGATGAACCCATAGTTTCCACTTGATGGATACTGCACCTTTTCTTTTCTCAGAAATCAGCTAGGTCTGATCAAATAGTTTGCGAAATGTCAAAAGGGGCACTAGACTATGGCATTAAAACGCACATCCACACACGAAGGACAGTGGGCGACCAAGCGTTATCCAGGAGAAAAGTACATGTCTCAGACAGTGCGTCATCTTAGAAAGCATCATTATCAGGTTTTAAAAAACAAACAACAACCCTGTGATGTCAAGGGACATGAATCTTATCTTTACTGTGGGAACTAGATAATTAGGGGAGTGGCACGCCCTTGGATGACGTCAAGAGCCCGGCGCCAAATATAAAGACATCGTCTGAGAGACTCATGGAGGTATTCAGTCGGACTCAGGACCACGACGAGACAACACCTATCTTGGACGGGGGCCCCCTGACAGACGCGACTCATCGGACCGCCAGCTAACTTTACACAACCCAAAAACAAAGAGGAAAGTGTCCGTTTGTTTGTTTGAGTAAAAACGCAGACATCGACACAATAATGGTCATTTAGTGCTGGGAAAAAAAAGACAGACAGACAGACAGACGCAACAGAGGGAAAGTAAAGGAGGACCTACCAGTGACACCCTCCAACCACCCACATATCTGTTTGTACCAGTGACACCCTCCAACCACCCACTTATCTGTTTGTACCAGTGACACCCTCCAACCACCCACATATCTGTCTGTACCAGTGACACCCTCCAACCATCCACATATCTGTACCAGTGACACTCTCCAACCACCCACATATCTGTACCAGTGACACCCTCCAACCACCCACATATCTGTTTGTACCAGTGACACCCTCCAACCACCCACATATCTGTTTGTACCAGTGACACCCTCCAACCACCCACATATCTGTTTGTACCAGTGACACCCTCCAACCACCCACATATCTGTACCAGTGACACCCTCCAACCACCCACATATCTGTTTGTACCAGTGACACCCTCCAACCACCCACATATCTGTACCAGTGACTGTCTCACAGACGGCCATGACAACAGGTGCTACTGTACCTGGTCGCGCCAACCTCCCACCAACACGACCCGCGCTGTAGGTCCAGCTACTGACTGGGACCAAGTCTTCGCCTGAAACTAGCAATACCCCCCCCCCAGGCAGTGCTACTGACAGAAGTGTCTTTAAGCCATTCCCAAAGTGGGGACATTAACATGTTCTTATGCACAGTAGAATTGTAAATTGGCTGATTTATCAATGTCATGCTCATACTGTGCCGGAACAACATAGGGGGAACTGCTGCTTTTTCTTTCCTCATCCTTACTATCGTCATTTTCCCTCTACTTTTGCATGTTTGCCACTCTCTTGTGACCCGCTATTTCCGGGGTGCCTCGATAGTCGAAGCAGACGTTGTGCTGTTGAAGCTAGAGAGGTGAGCAGAGTCTGCAGTCATTATTGGGACCTCTACGCGGTGCTGCAGACCCCGGAACAGGTACAGCTCCGGGCCGAACGCCAATCAACCCCTGGATTCAGACAGGAACGGAGGCGACCGAGTTTTTGTCCGGAGGCTCAGCCGAACCGGTTGATCTGAGTCTCCTGTTAATAATGGCCGGTGACGTCGAAATCAACCCTGGACCTGATGAGATGTACCCATGCACAATATGCAACAGGAACGTGACCAATCGGGGTTACTCGATCCGATGCGCCACCTGTGCCAAATGGATACACAGCAAATGCAGTGGTCTATCAATCCCAGAAATTCGACGTCTCTCCCACAACCATGCATGGACTTGCCCGGCCTGCTCCGTGCTGTCCCCTATCCGAATCGGCTCCCTTATACCCCAACATTCCCAACATTTAATAGACTTTTCAAGAGCCTTTGACAAGGTTGGCATACTGGACTTCTCTACAAGATAAACGCCTTAGGAATGCCCACCTGTCTACAACGACAGATCAAGGCCTACCTAGACGACAGAAGGTCCAGAGTTCGTTTTGAGGGAAAAGAAAGTCGCTACTATCGCTTCCTCGCCGGCGTCCCTCAGGGCGGAGTATTATCACCTCTACTGTTCCTCATGTACATCAACGACATCGTAGATGACCTACCTGTAGACACCAACACCAGCCTCTTCGCAGACGACCTGGCAATATGGGCATCCCATGAAAATCTTGACACTGCCGCAACGATGGTTCAAGCCGCTCTGGACAAGATCTGCGATTGGTCAAAACGCTGGAAGATGGAAATTAACGTGGCGAAATGCGAATACTCTTTTTTCACGACATGGAACCGTGAAATGTCCTGGCGCACTCAGCTTACAATGGGAGATGAGGAGGTGCCCTATAACAAAACACCTACCTTCCTTGGCGTGACCTTTGATTGCAAGTTAACATTTAAAGAACATATAAATAAATTAAAGAAAAAACTGGCCCCACGAGTCAATCTCCTCCGCAGGCTCTCCGGCACAGACTGGGGATGCAGCAAAGAAGATCTACGTATGGTGTACATCGCGTACATCAGATCAGCCATCCAGTATGCCCACGCAGCCTGGTTCCCAGCAACGGCCAAAACAGATCGTGAGACCTTAAATGTTGTTCAAAACTCGTCAGCCAGAATAATTACCGGGTGCACGAGAGACTCAAATGCAATGCTGCTCACAAACGAAGCTGGCCTGATCCCACTTGAGATTAAGTCCACCATTGCAACTGCTGTGGCATACGAGAGAGCAAGAAGAGTCCCAGAAGACAACCCGATCCGTGCCTCAGCTGAAGGAACATCAAAAATACGTTTAAAGTCCATCAACAGTTGGAGGGAAGTGGGCCGACAGAGCTCTAATAACGCAGGACTAGAACATCTAATCCGAGAACCCCTGCGGCCAGTGAGTACAACTCCCCCATGGAAGACCCCCTGCAACCTCACAATCAACTCAAAACTTGCAGTGTCTACGACAAAAACAGATACTGGTGTTTAGACAAATCTTCTGGGGAGGAAACATGCGTATCCGTGCCCGCGGGACTATACGGAAGCAGCTACCGAGCTGAAACTACCGCCCTGCTCCGCGCACTGCAATGGCTAGAAAAACAACCACGTTTTCAAAGAATCCACATCTTCACAGACTCCCAGTCAGTTGTTCAACACTTAATGTCCGGAGTGACTGCAGTTCGTACTGAGATAGAGGACAAAATGTGGATCACTATCTGCCAATGCTGTGAAATCCACGGACACCTTCACATACAATGGATACCAGGACATTGCTACATCTACGGGAACGACAGAGCTGACGCCCTGGCCAACAAGGGAGGCCGCCTTGACCAGTCCAACACTCCAGTCGATATTGCGTCAGCAAGCTCGTGCATCTCGAGTTACATCATTGCCCACGCATGGGAGAAAGCGCGAGTGCACGACTTCGTCGGGGGAAAGGTGAAGCCACCACCGGAGAGGGACAAAGAGAAGGACCTTACCGTCGGACAGAGAAGAGTGTTATCGCAGCTAAGATGCAACGCAAAGAGCCCCATCCTACAGACATATCTCCATGCAATAGGCTCAGCTCCCAATGATTCCTGTCTGGTGTGTGGCACAAGTCCTGACGACCTGCAGCACGCACTGTATGAGTGCCCGCGGGGGGAAGCACATCGAGGCCCACTTATGGAGAACAACGCGAGACCGGGCCCGGATGCACTCTGGACGAGGCCACAAGAGGTTGCCGCATACCTGTCTGCCTGCGGCAGACTGCCGCCCTCCTGACGGAGGCCAGCCAGAAGAAGAAGAAGAAGAAGGTGAGCAGAGTAAGTCTGATTCCCTGTAAGGACTTCTCTGTTGACATCCACCCCTTGGCGTTCATATGACCTTTTGCAGTTGCAAGCGCCGTAAAACCTTACTAAAACAAACACCCCTAGGCGCTCATATGACCTTTTGCAGTTGTGAGCGCCGTAAAACAAACAACTAGCAAGGTGTGAGGAACAGCCCCGCCCACTTACCTTCACAAGCACCGGTCTGATCTCGTTCCATCTCTCCATCCACTTGTCTTTGTTGAACCTGACGTCCACGCCACCTGCGTCTGTTCAATGAGGAAGGAGAGAGAGAGACGGTCAAACGAGGAAGGAGAGAGAGAGAGAGAGAGAGAGAGAGAGAGAGAGAGAAAGAGAGAGAGAGACGGTCAAATGAGGAACGAGAGAGAGAGATGGTCAAACTTTCTGTGAGCATGGGTCTTAACACAGAATTTTTGAAAAGGCATTTTTTCACCAGTTTGTTAATTTTTTATCAAATCTTTATTTTTTGGCTCAACACACAAAGAACAGCTGATTAAAACCTGTCAATTCTTCGCCATACCGACAGACCCAAGGGCTAGACTAGAACCCAAATGGCCGCTGGATCGGAAAAGTAAAGTAAAGTTGGCTCAACGCGTTTAATTTCATGTCCGTACAAAAACACATTACCAAGTGAATTTTACTCTAAAACATTGATTAAGGGTACAAAATATGTAAATTTTCAGTTTCCAAGGACTATCAAGCCACTGAAGTTACCAAACTTTGGCAGCCTTTTTCTCACTAATTTTACCTCTGAAACCAGACAACCTCCCCCCACCCCATTCCACCACAAATATCTAGACTTCTATTTAAGATAGATGTGTACTTTTTTCAGCAAAAGTAGAAGCCTTCTGATGATATCAACAACTCCACATGCTAAAAAATCGCCGAGCGCCTGATTCCACTGCGTCATGACACAAAGTTCTCTGGATCCCACATGATGGACTGCTCTGCTCTACAGAAATCCTTTGAGTTGCCACGTGGTCTGTTCTTTATCTGCCGGACAAAGTTCATCGTTCTACTCTCAGCATTCCGCTCTTTGCTTCTTTTTGCCGACCCAGCATGAATGTCATCAAAACTTCTTCAAAATAATTATTTCCTGACAGAATAAAAGCGAGACGTGCTGACAAACTGAGCCACTTCTCGCAATCCATGAATGGAGATATCAGTCAAAAAACGACACAAGGGTCATATTTGTATATTCTAAACCAATGCCCTTTTCTTCAAGTTTAACATGTCTTTTATCATTTCGTACTAATGAATTGTATAAATTCAACCCATAAATTTGACTCATCTCAAAGAAGTAACTCCCTTTGTCGGCACACCTCACAATTGACCACGTAACAACACAAGTCCTAACAATGTACGGCACCCGGGCACACAGGTACACAGGTACACATGTACACAGGTACACATGTACACAGATACACATGTACACAGGTACACATGTACACAGGTACACATGTACACATGTACACAGGTACACAGGTACACAGGTACACATGTACACATGTACACAGGTACACAGGTACACATGTACACATGTACACAGGTACACAGGTACACATGTACACACAACAAGACAGAAGCTCCACGCGGAAGGTGCCGCGCCACACGATAGATAACAATGACTCACTTTTCAGCTCTGCCCCAATCCCGTCGTCACATTCCATCCCTGCCTCATCATCTGCCATAGGCTCCACTCTGCGAGATAACAGAGGATAGTCTTAGTCTTAGATACAACAGAACAGAGGATAGTCTAATCTTAGATACAACAGAACAGAGGATAGTCTTAGTCTTAGATACAACAGAACAGAGGATAGTCTTAGTCTTAGATACAACAGAACAAGAGAACAGAGGATAGTCTTAGTCTTAGATACAACAGAACAGAGGATAGTCTTAGTCTTAGATACAACAGAACAGAGGATAGTCTTAGTCTTAGATACAACAGAACAGAGGATAGTCTTAGTCCTAGATACAACAGAACAGAGGATAGTCTTAGATACAACAGAACAAGAGAACAGAGGATAGTCTTGGTCTTAGAAAAAACGAAAACAGCATGGTTGGTTCCACTGGTAACACATCAGGACCCCCCCCCCCCCCCGCCCCCCAAATCATCCCCAGCATTTTTCAGTTTCAGTAAGAGCTTTACGGCACTTGCAACACAATAAGGTCATATAAGTGCTGAAGAATAGATGTGTTACAAGAGAGTAACAAACACACAAAAGAAGGAGAAGAGACCAGGACGATAGATGTTTGATAGGAAAGAAGGAGCAAAGCACACCAGAGCACCTGCCAACCACCCACTTTGCCAGCATGTGCACCATCAAATGAACACATTACAGCACGCGCACCCATGTAAACAATGTGGTTATGTAGTAGAGCTTCCCACAGTCCTCTTAATCAATATAAATACACGACCTACGCAGGATGACACTTGAAAGGCAGAAGGGGGGAGGGGGGGGGGGGGGGGGGGGAAGGGAAAATGACAAGCAGCAAACTTGTGCAAGACAAGACAGGGGAGCCCACACAGTCCTGCTGTGTCCTGGACACCGCAAACAATTTTGTGGAAAGAATGTTTACGTGAGATGTCTGCCCTCTACATCCTGACGGAGGGAGTCGCGGCCTTCTGTCCCCTGAACGACTTGAACACCTACAGTACCGTAAGCGACTTAAGCCGACGCAACCAGACACACTAAACATAATTAAACAACGAATGGACGCACTGCACCGAAGTAATCACCAAAGGAAGTCGCTCTATATATAGCTGAATGGTTGATGAACCTCTCTCAATTTTTGGTGTGTTTCTTGGGCTGCCAAAGTTTTTCTTTTTAAAAAAAAATTCTACCACGGCTTCAGCGTTTTAACTCATTCGCTATGTATTATTGTCGGCTTGTTGACAAATTTTTTTCGGGGAAAGCGAAATGAGATGATGACTAGTGCGCAGTTCAAAGGTCTTTGAGGCCACAAATTCCAATAAATAACAATTTATTCACCAAAATTTTCAGTATTATTTGTAGAATACAACTGTAATGTTTATTAGTGTATTTTTCAACTTTGGTTCCTGTAAGAGGCGATTATGCAACACAATTTTGATTGGATGCGGATAAAATTTGAAAATAAAAAACTAATAATTTTTGGTGAAACTCAAAAAATTTGTTTGCACCTAGTCAAATGATACATGGAAATAACCATAACTGTATATAGAACTGGAAAATATTGAAACATTTGCAGTCATTTACATACATTCCATAATATTTGTACATTTGGATCATAACGTCTGATATTGAAAAAACCCATTATAACTCTTTTTTATAATCTTGAAAAGGGATCACAAATAGAAAACCCCCCCACTCGTATCTTATATGGAATTATTCCGAATTGCATTTGGAATCAACCTATACATGTCTTGAGTGGTACTTTTTGTGTCATTTTATTAAAGAGTAGTGATTTTGGGGAGAAAAGAATATTTTGGCAATTTAGATCTAGACCTAGCACTCAAAAATATTGATTTCTCAATAACAGTGCATTGGCAATATGAGTCCAATCGTATAAAAAAAGAGTCCTACATTTCTTTAGTGGGCAAAATAATGATAGACTTTGTTGTGTAAAAGTACTAAGACTGGTGTCTGGGCTATAATTTTGGCATCGCGATAAAACAAAGTGGAATAAACTACGACATCGCGTTTTCAAACTGAATCTAAACTTTCGATTTTCAGTGGAAATGTTTGACCCGGAAGGGTTATATTATAACCTTTATTTTAACATGGACACGTGGATTGGAATAAAATCTAAGCTAGACTTATAGGTCGGTGCTCGAGCCGCGGCCCATGGCTCGCCGTAGCGAATGAGTTAAACTGGTGCGGTACAAAGGGTTTTTCACTATATGAGCCTTCAGTACTGTCAATGGTATTAGGAATAAATCATAATGCTGGGGACCCAAACTATGAACAATCAACTGACATAGCCACTGCCCTGACCACGTGGAAGTATTAAATATTCCTTCTTCTCAATTAACCCACTGCTTTCATTAGCAAATCTCTGAACCCACTCACTCTTCATCGTCTTCGCCACTCTCTCCGTCGCTCTCATCCTTTTTACTCAGCAGATCGAAAGTCGATGGACGTGTTTGACTAGACGGCCCCCTGTCATCATCTTTGCTGAGGTCAGCATCATCGCTGTCACTTTCATCGTCATCATCCTCTTCATCACTGTCTTCATCGTCCTTTGTCTCCACAACATTTCCACTTTCATCACTAGAGTCATCATCCTCTTCATCTCCCGAGTCGTCGCTGCTCTCCTCCGTCACTGAAACAACAAACAACGCTCTGATCATAACCACCACAAGGCAGAGGAAAGTCTCAACAGCAACACACAAAACATAGCTCGCAACAAGCAAAATGAAAAGAAATAACGGAACAATTACCAACACCCACCAGGCCTTATGACGGAACCCACAGGGAAAAAGGAAGAGAGGAAGGTCTTAAAAGCACTTGGAGCAGGGTCTTACATGCAGACTTAGAGGAGACAGGAATCAGCTGGACAGGGGTGGAGACTATAGCCCAGGACAGAAGTAGATGGAGACTATAGCCCAGGACAGAGGTGGAGACTATAGCCCAGGACAGAAGTAGATGGAGACTATAGCCCAGGACAGAGGTGGAGACTATAGCCCAGGACAGAGGTGGAGACTATAGCCCAGGACAGAGGTAGATGGAGACTATAGCCCAGGACAGAGGTAGATGGAGACTATAGCCCAGGACAGAAGTAGATGGAGACTATAGCCCAGGACAGAGATGGAGACTATAGCCCAGGACAGAGATGGAGACTATAGCCCAGGACAGAGATGGAGACTATAGCCCAGGACAGAAGTAGATGGAGACTATAGCCCAGGACAGAGGTGGAGACTATAGCCCAGGACAGAGGTAGATGGAGACTATAGCCCAGGACAGAGGTAGATGGAGACTATAGCCCAGGACAGAAGTAGATGGAGACTATAGCCCAGGACAGAGATGGAGACTATAGCCCAGGACAGAAATAGTTTGAGAGCTCTACTTGGTGACCTTTACCCCGCCCCGAGGTGAGAAATGACCAGAGCGATGACAGTTACCAGGACAACAATCCCGAAAATATAATAAAATATAACACAACAACCACAGACACGCCAACAGACAACAGAAGGAGTTACCTGTAGTCTTGCCCCTGGCAGATAATGACAGAGCAGAGCACCCACCAACCACCCACATAAACAAACATACAACACAGACATGCCAAGAGACGACAGAAAGAGTTACCTGTAGTCCCACCCGTGGCAGAAGACGACACGGCAGATCCTGTGGCCGGGGGCCTGAGCAGACCGGAGAGGGGAGCTGTGGCACCTGGCAGGGAGACCAAGGGACATAAATAGCAATGAAACTGTCCAAACAAATAGCAACAAACATGAGACGTTTTTCACAGGATAAAGAACACTTGTGTCCATAAAAAGTTAGAGAGCGAGATTTAAAATGTCAGGCAGCGTGGTGAAATCAGGCGCTCGTCAAAATAGTGGAATTGAACAAATCAGACATTTTCCGTCAGTTTGGCAATTTTGGCCAAATATTTGTTTTTTGGCCCAACACCTTTTGTGTCCTTTTGAAAACAGTAGGCCTATATTGCTGGGTGGATTTCACCGATTATCAACCAACACCCGTTCTTTTTCAAAGTTTCTGTACTTCAGTATTTTGAGGCTGACTCCCGTACTAAATTAGGAAAATCTGTAACGGTAGGCAGCTCTGCTCCAGCCAAGAACAAGCAAATGCACTAAATGACCTCTTCTAGTCCAAACTGTCCTAGAAGTAAAGACAAAGCCTTCGATAAGTCCTTTCTGTCTCGTCTACAACAAGCTTCTCTTTAGTTTTTAGTTTTAGTAAAAGTTTTACGGCACTTGCAACACAATAAGGTCATATAAGTGCTGAAGATTAGAGGTGCTACAAGAGAGTAACATACACAAAAAAGGAGAAGGGGAGATAAAGAGGATAGATGTTTGATAAGAAAGAAGGAGGGGAGATAAAGACGATAGATGTTTGATAAAAAAGAAGAAGCAAACCCCACCAGCCACCCGCCATCTCCCTAGATGGCCAACACAGGAGTCACCCTGCTTGCACGATCCACTCACCCTGACTGCTGGCACGACCTTTCTCTCCAGCCTTCACCACGCCCGACCTGACGTCCGGTCCCGACCGGTCAAACTGATCCAGCAAGGAAAACCCTCCGGTCCCCCCCTCCTCCGAGTCGTCTTTCTTCTTGAACAGATTGAGCAGCGACGACGACAACACGGCCTTTGACTTCGCTGATGTCTCCACACCGCTGCACGGGACAAACATCTCAATTTAGTTTTAGTAAGCGTTTTACGGCACTTGCAACACAATAAGGCCATACGAGTATGAGTGCCGAAGATTAGAGGTATTACAAGAGAGTAACAAACACAAATAAGAAGGAGGGGAGATAAGGGCGATAGATGTTTGATAGGAAAGAAGGAGCAAACCACACCAGAGCACCCGCCAACCACCCACAAAATCTGAATAAACAATCAAGAGGTCACATTGCTTCAAAAATCAGGAAATAATCACAGCTTGCAAATGTTCATCTGTCTGCGGTATACACAGTGGCCTAGTGGTTAGACTCTCTGACTCACAACGTGACGGTCGTGGGTTCGAATCCCATCAGGGGTCCGACGTTGTGTTCATGGGAAAGACACTTTGCACGAATGTTCCTCACTTCACCCAGGTGGGGATGGGTACCCAGCTATACACAGTGAAAAATTTTGTGAGTGTGTGCAAGCCATATGCTTCCGGGGCAGCCCAGAAGGTTTCTGAGTGTTCTTAGAGGGTCTCCTGGGGCAATAATGGTTGTAAGAGCATGTCCCCTTATGCGCGACTCGCGCCTGGTCCTGGTCGCTCTAAAATCAATCAGGCAAGATTCTAAGGAAACTGTCTCCTTACACGGCGTAACGTCGCGCGTGATTGTCGCGTCTGATGGGTCCATGTAGCGATCGAGAGTCTCGCTGCGGGAGACAGACTGGGGGTGTGGCAGGTTTAAAGCATCACCATTGGTCAAAATACCTAGACAAGGCGTGCCCACCATCGACCCGCAGTGTGTAGGGAGTGTGTGTGTGTGTGTGTCGGTGAAGGCAAGGCTCGAAGATATGTGCTAAAAATAACTTGCTACTGTCTCTCTGTTGTGAACTGCTAGTCGCGCACAGGATTTACCAGTCGCGCTCGACGTAACGTCGCATAAGGAGACACTCACGCGACAAAAAATTGGGATACACACCTTGCGAGTGTCGCGTATAAGGACACATAGTCTAAAGCCTATAGAGCTTGCTGTCCAGAATGGATATGAACTACACAAATGGAATTATTATTATTATCATAATGAATCAGGTCTGTGCTAGTGGACAGGAAAGAGCTAGGAAGTTTTGACAAGTTGTTCTCTCGCTCCCTTACCTCGGCTTCTCTGTGACCTTGACCTTCTTGGACTTTGTCTTCTTTGCTTTAGTCGCGGGACCTGGGAGTGACTTCTTAGAGCTGTCAACTTTTCCCGTGTCTTTCTCTTCCTCCTCATCGTTATCGTCAGACGATGAAGAATGGCCCGACCCTTCCTCATTGAGCTGTTTGTGCTTCAGTTGCTCCCCCTTGTGGCTCTGCGACGTCTGTGACGCGGTGGGCGATGTCTCACAACTCGCAGCATCTCGTGTCCTAAGGATACAAAGTCGTGGAAGTTCAAACCAGACTTTTAGTTTTAGTCAAAGTTTTACGGCACTTGCAGCAAAACAAGGTCATATAAGTGGCGAGGATTAAAAGTGTTACAAGAGAGGAACAAACACGTCAAAAAAGGAGGAGACATAAGGATGATAGATGTTTGATAGGAAAGAAGGAGCAAACCACACCAGAGCACCCGCTAACCACCCAAAAAACAAAACTTTATTGACCATGTGGGATTTTCCGCGGCTCTAGAGGAACGGTAAAAACACGTCATATAGATAGACATATGATTCAAACTGTACATTATTTTTATAAAAAGAATTTCCATATGAAGATAAACTACAAGTTGCCAGTAGCACAACTCTTGTATCAGACGCGTCTCTCCAACCACACACAGGAATGTAGCACAGATCTCACGTAAGCTGACTAAACGCTTTTTTTACCTTCAAAGCAGTTACGAGAAAAACATTTTTTTGGTCAGAGTAGCCATTTAAAAATAGAATGATTCCAAACTTGAATTTGAAAGTTTTCAAAAACTGGCCAAAAAGTGGAGCCAGAGAACCTCAAGACATGAAGTCTCCCCACAATGTCACAGCAACTCAACCACCACCCCCTCCCTTCACAAATCCAAGCCCCCCCCCCCTTTCCCCCTCCCCGACCCCCCCCCCCCCAAAAAAAAACCGGGCAGACACGAACAGAAAAGCAATAGAGGAAACAATATGGCTGACCTCAGTTTCTGCGGGGTTACGTCAGTTCCTCTGTGAACAGACGGGCCGCTGAAGGTCGTGGGATCGAAGCGCCTCTCGTTCATGTCGCTGAGGAGGATGTGAGAAAAGATTGGAGAACAACGTGAAGAAACCCGTCCAGCAGAACTCATGGTCGGACTCCAACAACAACAACAGTGTCCACTTCTTTTCTTACAACAAACAAAATTATACAATTCTAAAAATAATAATGAATTTTAAAAAATGATACATTATTAAAAAATAATACGGATTTTTTTAAAAAAGAGCAAAAAAAGGAAAAGGGTACCAACAAAAAACAAAACAAAACAGCATAATTTATAGACAGATTCTATTATTAACACATTCCACCCTTCCTTGCACGGGATCGCCCGACAACTTTCCTACGCGATCCACCCTAACTTGCCCACTCCGACCAGGCGTCTTTAGAAACGAAGTCTCGCCTTGACGAGACCTTGGGGCCAAGATGTTGTTTTACACAGTCATTGCAGAGTCTTCTCTTCCCTTTCATAGCATTACGACATTTTTTGACAAGTAGTTTTAGTATTAGAGCCGATCGAACAGCGATCGCATTTCCGAAACTTCAAAGGTGTCTCCACTTGTTGAAAAGCGACACAACTGAGTTTGAAAAAGGAAACAACGATGGACTTGAGCAAGAACAAGCAAATGACAAATCAGATGAATCAGATTGATGAAAACGTTGTAGCAAGAGTTTGGGGCGATTCCGATTGATCAGACGTAGAAAATCTAGAATTTAGATCTAGGGCCCGACCACGAGGCTGAGAGTGAGAGTGGCGGGTCGGACACCCCGATTGAATTAGAGTGAGAACATTTCCAACAGTTTGTGCATACATGAAGTTACATTTTTTCTGAAACTGCAATTATTTCTCTTTCTAAATATTATTTTTTTCAGGATTTTAGGAATTTGTTTAGTATTTTTTTAAAGTGTTTTTTTAGATGCTTGTATTCACGGGAGGTGGGTTCCTCCCCCTTGCTTAGAATTCGGGAACAGACTTCCTGTCCAGACCCTTAGGCTGTCATGCGTTACAAAAATACAGTAACTGAAATACAACTGTGGACACACAGTCATGACGTGAAGGCAACAGGTGTCCTTGCAAATCTCCAAACTCTGTGACACTCATGTCGGGGTCACTGACTGGTCACCTAACAGAGATCAAATATTTCACAAAACTATTGACAAATAAATTTTTTAAAAACAAAAAACAAAACAAAAAAGACTTGCACGTACTGTTCCACATGAACGGTGGACGTCGGAACCTTTCTCCGCTCTGCTCTGTCCGTCGGTGGGTTGGGCGTGGACACTTTGGTGGGGTCGAAGCGAACAGAGTTCATGTCACTGAGGACGGCCAAGGTCAAATACATTACTGGAAACATCGAGACGGTACATAAATAAATTACTGGAAACATCGAGACGGTACATAAATAAATTACTGGAAACATCGAGACGGTACATAAATAAATTAATAGATAACATTTGTATTGCGCAAATCCCCGCTCAACAGCAAGCTCTATGCACTTCACAATCTATACTATTACCCCAGCAGACCTGAGAGCATTCTGAAACAACCTCAACTTCCTGGGAAGCATACAGTGCTAGCAGCCACTTACAGGTGCTAAAACACTAACATACTGACAAGATCTTTCGCAAGTGGAAACAGAAATTAGCCGCTCTCAGCCAGTACCACATCAAAGAACACTGGACTCTCTCAGCCAGTACCACATCAAAGAACACTGGACTCTCTCAGTCAGTACCACATCAAAGAACATTGGACTCTCTCAGTCAGTACCTCATCAAGGAACACTGGACTCTCTCAGTCAGTACCTCATCAAGGAACACTGGACTCTCTCAGTCAGTACCTCATCAAGGAACACTGGACTCTCTCCGTCAGTACCTCATCAAGGAACACTGGACTCCGGCTGACTTCTACCTTTGCCCCTCACTCCACATAGAGACAGGAAGATTCGGAGAAAATCAATTCTTCACTTTCCCAAAGTCTGCAAGTTTCAATATTGTTTACCTTATTCCTAGGTGGCCCACTGATCCATCTCCCACACACTTCTCTAGCCCCCCCTTCCATCTAGAGAACAAGCTTGTGATGAATCCAGCATGATACAATCATACTGACATGGCACCTCACAACAGATTGAATTTCTACAGTATTTACATTTACAGGTACAGATGAAAGCAAATCTCTGAAGAAACGAGGCCTGTTCAAAGTACTTATCAGTCTTCACCACCAGACAAAAAGCCACTACAAAATGGTCATGGGAAGAAATGCAAGAGATTGAGGTCCCATTGACAAAATCACAGGTGTGGATGGGGCAATGTGATCTAAGGATGACTTGTACCTTCCCTTTCTTTGAAGACAAAACCAATAAGAAAAATCAGATTTAAAATAAACTTCGCAGCTCCAAGTATTATTTTTACAAAAAAGTAACTAAGGCTTTGAGAGGACAAAACCAGCATGGACGTCAACTCACACGATGTGCTTGGTGTTTCTCTTGATCTTCTGAGTAAACTGGTCCAGGGTAGCTTTGCCCACCACCTGCTCCAACACCTTGAGGTTCGCATCCCTCTCGGCCGCAAGTTCGTCTGCCTGGTCGTTACTCTCATCTGCCACAAGGAAAAGAAGGAGTTGAAACAACAGACACATTCACGACAATAATGATAACTTCTTTCTTCATGAGCCGATGATGTTCTTTGAGTTGTTGTTTTTGTTGTTATTGTTGTTGGTGTTATCGATCCAGCAACATCTGCGTTGTATCTCTTCTGCCCAATGCCATGTAGTGATAAGTGCAGGTTCGCTGCAGTTACAGACCGTGCCAGCTACCACAGGCTAACCAGCTACCACAGACTGTCAGCTACCACAGGCTACCAGCAACCACAGACTGGTGGCAGACTGTCAGCTACCACAGACTGTCAGCT